GCAAAAGCATGGAATATGGAATCCTTGAAATATATATATATATATATCATGGTGTACTGTATATATATATATATATATATATCATGGTGTGCTTACAGTAATTTAACAATAGATTGTGCCATTTTGTATTGTGAACTCTGAGATGACTTAATTAAACATGTTTAGCGGTTTCTAATTTCCTTTAGTCATCAAAATGCAAGTTAATTGTTTTATGGTTAATAGAGTATCTTTATCGCTGTTATGTATTTTTTTTTTTAGGTTAGATCATATTAAATTCGTATTAAAATAGAAATGGTATGTGATCCAAAAAACCACAATACCGATATCTAATTATTCATAGAAGGAAAAAAATTATTAGGATTGTTCTCACTCATGCCTCCTAAATTTTAAAATTATTCTCACTTTGTCTCCTAAATTTTTATAAACTCAATTTATTTTGAAAATTACAAAAAAGACAGTATTTAACACTAATTCTAATATAGAGTGGATTAAAGTGAGTTTAATTCAAAATGTAAAAGATAAAGTGTGACTTTTTGGCCATGTTTAGAATTGATCCCATTTTTATTTTTTACATTTTTCGAGAAAAAAAATGAAAACGTTTTCAAAATGACGTTTTGCACAATAAAAACGAAAAACGGAAATAAAAATAATTTTTTAATTTAGTGTAAAATGAGAGAGAAATGATAAACGACTTTTAATCATTTTTTTTATTTTTTGTTTTTGTTTTCTCCTCTCTTGAGCAGAGAGAGAGAGAAAGAAAGATATTAATTAATATTTTTACACTGAAAATAATCTATTGATAAAATTATCAAACACACTTTTGAAAATGATTTCTATCTAAAATTAAAAATGTTTTCATTTTTATTTTCATACAAAAAATAAAATTATTTTTAAAATGAGTTTCAAACGCGTCCTTTAAAATTCAGAGAGTGAATAAAGAAGAACACTAAAATTTAAAGAGGCATGTGAGATTAATCCAAACTATTAACTTACTAGATATTTAATTTTGAAAGCATATATACTGCAAGTTTTTTTTTTTTTTTTTTTTTTTTTTTTCTGGAATTTTTTTTTTTTTTTTTTTTTTTTTTTTTTTCTTTTGGGATGAATTGACAGATCTGCTAGCTGCAAGACATGTGTATGATACGTGTGTTGATTTGATAATTACAATAACAAGGAGATAGAGCTAAGATGATAAAGACCCACCACCATCTTTAAGTCTTTCCCTTTCGACTGCACAGTGCATACACTATCATGGACCCCATAACGGCACAGACATCCTTTTATTCTGTCATTGGCTCCATTTGTTGGGTTATGTCTTGTATTATATATATATATATATACTAGTCCTCATCACATCACAGTCCTACCAGTAAGGTTAGTGTTTGTCTAATTGTGACCTTGATTCCAAGCTTACCCACCTGATTTTAGGCTCCATAAAGATAAAAGTGTGGTCGATATCGAATATTGTGTATATCTATATATATATATATATATATCATATGTGTGTGTGTTTGGTGTGTGTAAGCTGGGTCGGTCATAATAGTTGTATATAGCAAAAACACAACGTGAGTTTTGACTGAATGACTGATTTGCATGTGCAATCTAATTTAAAGATCCCCTATGAAACTTTTTCTGATAATTTCTTGTCTTAGGATTCCTATAGAGTAAATGTCTCAATTTGTGCAAAGATTGGTGACAATCTGTAATGGCCAACCTTGCTCTTTTTTTTTTTTTTTTCTCTCCAAGTGTTGGATGAGGAAATCACATGAAATGAAGTCCACTTTAGCCTGTAGTGTGATCATTCACCTTAGAGTTATTGTTGCAACAATTACTTTATTCTAGGTTCAACAAATCATTATTAGAGTATGCAAGTATTTATATAATTAAACTTTCTCTTCAAGCTATAGGTGATCATGTATGCCCATTTCTACCTACTTTCCCGAAGAAATAATGATGATAACTATAGGAAAATGCATGTATTCACAGCCATTGCTTCATAAACTGTTTCTGTTATGGTGACAATATCAGTATGAGAGAGTCCAAAAGGTACTATTAGTTGATACAGAGAATAATTAGAGAAGAAGCTATTTATGGTTGGGTTATATATTTTTCTGGCGCTACATAAATACAGGTAAATTTTCATTAATATAATAAAAAAAAATTATGTAAAATTCATAATTTATACAAATATGACGATTTAAACAGAGTGCTAAGTCTTTTTTTTTTTTTTTTTTTTTTTCATATTCTGTCCTAGAATTCTATTTTCCAAAAATCCAAATTTGAGATGTTTGGAGTTACGACTCGTTCTAAACTAATGAGATCTATAGTGTCACATTGTAACCTAATTTGGCTTACGAATCAAAGTTGAAACAATAAAGCATCTTTTATAGAACTTTATGTCCGCATTTTCTGAGAAAGGGAAATGTGGACGTGTATTGTGGAATAGCTATTCCAAAATAAAGTTTCAAACCTTTTTGTCCTTTGATAAAAAAGTGTACCACTAATAATAAGTTCCTCTTTGCTACACCATTTTGAACATTTTACTGTGTTATTTGCCTTCATGGGTAATACTATTATTAGTCGGAATAGAAATTAATCACTCATCACTGGGTCCAATCCCAATAAAAATTCAATCTTAAAACATCTTGAAAGCTATTCGTTTGTCCTCTTTTATTCCAAAACCGGGTCCACTTTTAAAGAACAAGATTTGGTCAGACTGATTTGTGTCCATTTATTCAGTTTGGTTCATACTCGCTTAAATTTAGTGGCTTTTAAAGTACTAGACGACATCAAGTCTCAATTAGGAGTGAATTCAATATGTAGTAGGACTATTTCATTTTGTTTAAAAAATAAGTTCAAAAGAATAATTTATCTGTTGACAAATGATAGGTTAAATGCTAGCATGTTTCTTTTTATAAGAAACTTGTAGTCATCACATTAAAAATCAATCATATGGTATAGAGCTCAACCGAACTTGGTTAGCTTTTCATGCTCTTCTAGCTTGAGTATCTTAGTTATAGATGTGTTTGGTTGGAGGGACAAATAATGAAGAGGGAGAGAGAGGGGTGAAGGGAAAGAAAGGTAAAGGCAGAGGCGTGCCTAATCCGTCATGTGGTTGGAGAAGGAGAAGACCGAGAGGTGAGGGCGAGGAATTAAAGGGGTTGTTCTTTTGTAACGAAAATCATAAAAAGTTTGAACTCGAGTTATAACTTTATTTAAATTCATGTTTTTTTTTTTTTTTGTTGTAAAATTTGAGTTTAAACTCGAGTTTGGGGCTAAACTCAAGTTCAAGTTTCCCCTTCAATTCGAGTTCATAAACTCGAACTCAAGTTAATAAACAATATATTTTTTCTATTCTTAAAAATATCATATATTTTTCGTTTTAATTCTTATTGAGACGATTTTTTTATGCATTTACAACGAAAAGACGAATAAAACCTCACTCATATACCCTATTAAAATTTTTCATCACCATTGAGTTTTTATTAAAATACTATCTAAATACAACTTTAAGTTTTGACCCACCCAAACACAAACTTAAAAAGATTTTTAATTCAAATCATAACTCAAATGTGCACATCCAAACACAAACTCAAGTTACAACTTCAACTCAAGTTATAACTCAAACTCAACTTAAAGTCATCACTCAAATTACCCTAACTCAAAAATACAAAAGAACAACTCCTAAATTTCCCTTCATATCACCAAATTGAATCCTTCCACTAATACAAGAATCAAGGAATCCATCAAATTCAAACCAAAAAGATTATTATTTTACCATTTAAAAATTTTATTAATAAATAGTAAAATAGCAATAATATAACTAACCTCCATCCTTTTAATCCTCTCTTTTTCTTATCAAACAACATAAAATATTACTATCATGCTATTCATATTTTAAGTTTCTAATCTATTGATCCATCAATATCATCCTCCTAACTAAACATACCATTAGTTTCTGATGTAGCTTGAAAGTATACGAGAAATACACACACAATAAAAAAAAAAAAGAAAAAAAGAAAAGGATTACAACCTTCTAACATTCGTTGATTCACTTAGAATGCTTTATAATAGACCATTTACTAATTTGTAGCTTACTTTGTTGATTTATTCACAAATGTCAAAAAAAAAAAATCACTCATTGATTCTAGAAATGTCAAGAATAATCTAAAAAATTTAGAATCAAAACCCTGAATGATGGTTTTATCAATCAAACTCTTGAAATAAAGTATATTCTTCACGGAGTCAAAAGTTACAGCAATTTTTATTCGAAAGCAAATATAATTCCTAAAGCAAAAATAATCCTTAATTTAAAATCATAATAATACTAAGATAAAGAACAAAAAATGATGCTAATAAAAATATAACAATAATATCTAAGAGATTTTCAATAATGCCTCTACATCAGCTTTTCAAGAGTTTTTTTTTTTCATTTGACCATATATTTTGATTTCTGCAATATTATTGGGAGAGAAATATAATTCTTACACATGGTATTTTGATTTGTCCAATATTTTTGGGAGAAATATGAAACTTTTTTAAGAAGTCTCATATCCTAACAGCATGATCCCCAATTTTACTTTTTATTTTATTATTTTATTTTTAATTTAATATGATTACAAATAAATAACGACTAAAAATTTTATTTTACAAAACTAACCTCAATCTAACTAACTTTAGAAGTGCAAAAGAAGAACAGATATGAGGGAATATAACTTGTAAGAACATAATTTAGAACCGACAAGCGTTGAGTCTTCTGTTCCTTTTTTCTTTTTCTTTTTTCCTTCATAATTTTACGTAGAATTCCCATATCGCTAGCTAGAAAATTTCATTTCCCTACCCCGGAAGCTGGTGACTTGTGACCCAAGTGAAATTGAGTAAAGCTCTCTCTCTCTCTCTCTCTCTCAATTCCACAGAAACCCAATTTCAACTTTTTGAAGTTGCTCAATACCCACCAGATTCAAGAGTCAACCAAAAAAAAAAAAAAAAAAAAAAAAAAAAAACAAAAACAAAAACAAACAAACTTCACACTCTTCCTTTATCTTTTGCTTAAAAAGTTATAAATCTTCTGGAAAAAGAGAGTGAACTCAAAAAAAAAAAAAAAAAAAAAAAAGAGAGCAGAAATGTTGATCCCAGTTAAAGTTTCTCTTCTCTGAGATTGTCAAAGTAGTTTTATTTTATTCGTTTTCATCATTTATAATTTCCCAGTACAGAGAGAGAGAGAGAAAGAGAGAGAGAGAGAGAAAGACTGAATTATCATTTCTATTATGGGTGGGGTGACGTCATCAATGGCGGCCAAGTTCGCGTTCTTCCCTCCGAACCCACCGTCGTACAAGCTGGTAACCGACGACCGGACGGGCCTGTTGCTGCTGAGCCCTTTCCCTCACAGGGAAAACGTGGAGGTCCTGAAGCTTCCGACGCGGCGGGGGACGGAGATTGTGGCCGTCTACATTCGGCACCCCATGGCCACCTCCACTCTCCTCTACTCTCACGGCAACGCCGCCGATCTGGGCCAGATGTACGAGCTCTTCATCGAGTTGAGCATCCACTTGCGTGTTAATCTCATGGGGTAATAATCCCCCCTTTTTTTTTCCTTTTCTTTTTGGCATCTGGGTTTTTGGTAATATGGAGTTCTTGAGCTGTTTTGAGATTGTTTCTGTACCAAAGTGCTGGTTTTTATATCTGGGTTTTTTAAAATTATTATTTTTGTTGGGATATTGGATTTGTTTACTGAGAACTTACTGGTGGAATCAGAAATGATAAAAGTGTGAGTGATCAGCAAGAAAGATAATGAATTTGGAGAGGTGAAATGTTTGTGATGCTCAAGTTGATCTATTCTAGTGTCTTGTTGGCAAATCTAGATGAACTAGTTTCAGATAATTGCGACTAGAGAAAGTTTTTGGTTCAAAGATTTTGATGTCTACTAATCGATTGACGTCATCAGAACTAGGAATTGGGATTGTTTCTTTTGACTATTATGACTGAACATGCGTCATAACATTCTATTAAGTACTTGGTTCAAGTTGTTGTGTATAATTGGCAAATGTCACTTCTAATGAAGTTTTTTGGAAAAAAGTTGCTTGTTTAAGAAATTGTGTGACAAACGGAGAGGGGAAAAAAAAATTGTTTTCTCTTACTCGCCCGTCATGTACTTTTTTGCAGGTACGACTATTCTGGGTATGGCCAATCATCTGGCAAGGTACATTGGAGAGCTTTGAACTTTTTTTTTTCCTTTTCTTTTGATGTACAATTTCCTTGTTTCTTGTATTTTGTTTGTGCTGAGAGCATCATTTATGGTCTACACCATTTCTGTGATGTGATTGCAGCCAAGTGAGCAAAACACATATGCAGACATTGAAGCTGCATACAAGTGCCTTGAAGAAAGCTATGGAACAAGGCAGGAAGATATAATCCTCTATGGCCAATCTGTTGGAAGTGGCCCAACTTTGGATCTTGCTTCTAGGCTTCCTCAGCTAAGAGCTGTCGTTCTGCACAGTCCGATTCTCTCCGGTTTGCGAGTCATGTATCCTGTAAAGCGTACATACTGGTTTGACATTTACAAGGTAAACTGTAAACATTAGAATTTTCAGTTTTCTTGCTTATTGTTCTGGCTTTGATAAACTTTGCAGCCTACTAATTCTAATTGCTTGCTTTGTGTTGGTACTTACTCTGCAGAATATTGACAAAATTCCACTAGTTAACTGTCCTGTTCTTATAATTCATGTAAGTACTTTTTTTAAATTAATTTTTCGGAACTTCTATGCCATTGGATTTGCACCGGTACTGTCTGTTTCTGATTGTCAAAATCATATTACTAATTAAACGAATGGATTGCAATGATGATCTGACGGCATAAAATTGTGATTTTTGTACTCTACCGCAGAATTTTCCTAATTCTTCTACTTATTGTATCTTTCAATAGGGCACTTCAGATGAGGTTGTTGATTGTTCCCATGGGAAGCAACTCTGGGAACTGTGTAAAGAGAAGTATGAACCACTATGGCTTAAAGGAGGGAACCATTGTAATTTAGAGCAATACCCTGAGTACATTAGGCATCTTAAGAAATTTATATCAACTGTTGAGAAATCTCCTTCCCAGAGATACAGTTCTAGGAGAAGCACGGACCAATATGAGCAGCCGCGGAAGAGTACAGATGTGTTTGAAGTTTCAAGGAAGAGTACTGATAGAAGAGAAAAGCCACGGCAGAGCACTGACAGGCCTGAGAAACTGAAGAACCAATTCAGCAATGCTGATAAGTTAGAAAAGTTAAGGATGTCGTTTGATCATATCGAAAGGTCTCGGAGAAGTGTGGATTGCCATGAGAAGTCGCGAAAAAGCATTGACCACCAATTGGAGAGAGCAAGGAAGAGTGTTGATCGTTTGGATAGAATAAGAACTGGGTAATTCTTCTTTTTCTTAGTCATATATATCCAACCTCATATGTAAAACTTAAGCTTGGGTTTGTTGTTGTGGGGAAAAAATATATATATTTGGGTCTTTCATCTAATTTATGGTCTTCTTCCGGCTGTGTAATTCGGCTTGTGGCAGTTCTTTAATAACTATGGTATGAAATGAGAAAGGGTTTGATGTTATTCATTTCAGAAATACGAGGAAAAATGAGTAAAGAAAACATTGGTACATGAAGTCAATGTGTCATTGTATATTCCCACTTGAAACAAATTCGACATTTATCAATGCGTTCGGTGTTCCGGTTGCGTGAGTGGCTTCCTCAAGTAATCACATATCCTTCTCACCATCTATCCAAGAACTTGATTACAATTTCTTTACTTAGTCTCAGCTAATTTAAATTGGAGAATATATTGGAAATCTATAGTCGTCTTTAATTATATCAAAGCTTATTTAAATAACATGCATTGATTATTTTGCCTTCGCATGCTGCATGAAAACGGAGGATTACAATTCTAACGTGTTAATTTTAGATGCCTTCATGGGCAAGAAAGAGCTTTTCTAATCCTTTGGATCCTGCAATACAACTTCTGAACATGTTGCTGACTGGTGTGAACCAATGGTTGTTTCTTTCTTAAGAAAATTACTTATATTAACTGTACCACGGTGTTATTTTTTTTCCCCCTTGTTTCCATGAACAGTCAAAAAAGAGCATTAGGTAGATTTTTCTACAAGAGATAGTTTCGGTATGCGCTCACTGTGTTCAACTATGGCTGAGGGTGGGAGACGGCCAACGCAGATCTCATGCACTGTTGCAAAGAGTGGAAATAACTCTAACCATCCTCGGTGGCTCAGAACCTCATAAACCTCTCTTGCTGTTGAGACACCCTGCACAAAAAGAGAGGATGTATCGATCGTCACATGGTTGGCCAAAAGAAATATATAGGAAAATTCTTTAGTAGCCTTAAAAAAATAAATATTTTACTGGTACTATACGATTACGAATCGTCAAATTTTCATTAAATTCTGTTAAGTTTTCATATTTTGCTTCCTATAAGATATGGTTGTAACGTGACCTTACATTAAAAAATAGCGCAACACCATTAACGAGTACGCTACCCCAAAATTCTCCATACATATCAACCAAAGTACGTAAAAAAAAATTAAATAAGATCTTGTTCTGAAAAAAATAGTTTCTTATTTTGATCAATCAAAGGTGCAGGAAGAATTAATTGAAGAATGCATTTGTTTGGTTGTTAGAGGAGCATAGTTGCGTAATACACATATACCTGTAATTTCTGGCCCTGCAACATTTCTGCTTCTAGCTCATCAAATGATCTGCAGATAAACAGGGGAATTTATTTAACACGTTATACTCAAAACGTTTACAAGATTATGAAGCAAGCGGCTGGGTTTAACCTTTTCCCTCCATTCCTTGCGAAAGCATCAGCTACTTTCCTGTTTCTTCCTCCCACTGCCAAGTGAAATTTGGCAAGTAAGAAAGAAAAAACAATGATCGTGCTTAGAGTTGATTCTGTTTTTATTTTTTACGTTTTTCGAAAAAAAAAATCAAAGCGTTTTTAAAACGGTGTTTCGCGCAATAAAGACAAAAAACAGAAATGAAAACAATGTTTTAGTTTAGTGTAAAATGAGAGAGAAATGAAAAACGATTTTTAGTCGTTTTTCATTTTTTGTTTTCATTTTCTCCTCTCTCGAGTAGAGAGAGAAAGAGAGACATTAATGGGTTTTTTTACACTGAAAACAATCCCTTGATAAAACTATCAAATGCATTTTCAAAAATAATTTCTGTCAGAGATTGAAAACGTTTTCATTTTTATTTTCATACAAAAAAAAATCATTTTGAAACGAATTCCAAACGCGTCTAATAAAATAAGATAAAGAAATCCGTATGCTTTCTTACAGCATGTTGTTATGAGATCCGCTACACCACAGCTCTCAAAGAAGGTGCTGTCCTTAACGGACGAAAACAACATTTTGGAGAACGCCTTCATCTCTCTCAGACCGATTCTCATTATTGCAGCCTAATCATTCAAGTAAAATAGTAAAAAAACGAAATAGAAAAGGCAAACAGTTACTGGTTTAAAAGGTTAATAGAATGGTTTGAACTTACCTTTGTGTTATTTCCCATCTCCAATCCATCTACAAAACCTGTTCATATGTTGATTAATTAATCCTCAGTTGCATATGAGACTTGAGAACAAAAGGTTAATATATCTTACAAAATCCTACCTGCTGCTATGGCCACAACATTTTTCAGAGTCCCACATAATTCCACTCCTTCCACATCTTGGACCTGTTAATTTCATATGCCACAAAAAGGGTATTAACTACTAAGAAAACATGTCTTCAGAATCTATGTAAATGATTAAACGAGACACTGTGGGATCTCCTTTCAAGGAATCCCTATATATGTCAATTAATCATATATGTCCACTCCTTCCATCCAGGCTAATGTTTTAATCTCAAACTATTAAAAAAAAAAAAAAAAAAAAAAAAAAAACTTATTGTGGTCATCATCATGAATTATAATTAGCATTTTCAAAATAATAAAGCAATTTTAATTATAATTTGCAACAGTAATTTTGTTACACTCACAGCTGTGACTATGAAATAGGGAGTGCTAAACAGTTGAACCCATTTCTCTGCAATCTCTCTGCTTTCTCTGTATCCAACCGTCGCTTCACTAAATTTCTCAACAGCAATCTAACAAAAGAAACAACTCTTTAACATTCCATAAAAATACATAACCAAAAAACACAAAAGAAAAAAAAAAGAATTGGTCGAAGCATACCTCATTGGCAATGTTTGCCCCCATGAGAACACAACAATTAAGGCCCAATTGTTGAGAGATGAGTGTGGAGATCATGCATGGGCCTTCCATTTTGACCTCCATTCCTTTGATGAGAGAAATAGCCTCCACATCTCCTTTAATCTTCCCCACAAGTCTTTTGCAAATTCCCTCCATGAATTGATGTGGGGTCACAAACACCAACATGTTTGCGTCCTTCTCCCCCCCCCCCCCCCCCAAAAAAAAAAAAAAAAAAAAAAAAAAAAAGCTCATTACTTTCAAGATTGTGAACAATTTTGCAAATTTACCGTACCATAAAAACACAAGAACATAGATCTACCAGCGTTTTCAAGATCTGGGTCAGCAATAACATTTTTGCCAAGCTTTATACCAGGTAGATATTTAACATTTTCCTGTTTGAATAAGATGGGGAAAAAATATTAGTTACAATGAATATAAAATACATTATAATAAGGAATATGATTAATGATTATTGTCAATTCATAGGATTTTACATTGGTTCGGTTGATAACATCCGTGAGCTTTTCTCCACTTGGTAATGTCTCCTCAAACACCCACATCCGTACTTCATCTGAATTTTCATTGGAAAAGAAAAACACCTCCAATTAAAAAGGATATTCCAATGTTCAATAAACAAAAAGGCTATTAGTGGCAGTGAACGAAACAAAATAAACAGAATTTTTCAAAAGGATGTATAAATCAGGTGAACAGGAAAACTCGCCAATTCAATTTTATTTTTCATTGTTTAGGGAAAAAAACAACAAAAAAAAAAACAACAAAACTTCCTTGTTCCATTTGTTGATGAAAAGTCTCTAGATTTTCTGAGGAACCAAACGGAGAATTCACAAACAATAAGCCGAAAGCGACAGCAACCCAATTTTCAATTTCATCACATTGGCATGCAAACAGAAAATAAAAGAAAAAAGAAAACCATAACAAAAAGAGAAGATTTATATACATACCATGGAAAGAGGGAAGGGTGAGGGTGTTAGAGGCAATGAGCTTGGCGGCGACGCTTCCCCAGTTGCCGCTTCCGACGACCGTGACTCTGGATTTTGAAGGAGCTTCTTCCTCCATGGAAGGAGCCATGATAGAGAAAGAGAAAGAGAGAAGGAAAGATGAAGAAACGAGAAGAAGAAGAAAGAATAAGCGAATGTGTGTGTGTGTGAATAAATATATAAATATAGTATATATATATATAGAGAGAGAGAGAGAGAGAGAGAGAGGCGTTAAGAGTAAGAAGAAAAAGAAGAAGAAGAAGGGAAGTTCCGTGGTCGTGGCGTGGTTGGGGGCGGAGATGCCATACACGTTTCGTCACTTACTATGTCTTCCTTGGCGACCTCCTCTATATCTCCCTCCCTCCCTTTAAAATCTACCATCGACATATCTTTTTTATTTTTATTATTTTTTCGTTTCTTTGTATATATCATCAACATCCTTCATATACTACTATCACGATTCACGTGATGTGAGTTTTTATGTAAAACTTAGGAAATTCTAGCTTAATCCATTTATATAATTATAAGAAAATTTCTAAAATACGACATTATAGAGCAAGTTTTTTTGTAGTAATTTGTTAAATTTTAATTTAAGGTGTGAAATTTTGTCATACAGCGTAATTATTTCTACTTATTTATTGAAAGAGAAAAAATAAAAGCGGCAATTTGTATTAGTGGGTCGTGTTTGTATTAATTCATTTATTAATCATGTCAGAAAACATCAATTCAAACACGACTTGTTTATTAAACGTGTCAAAAATATCAATCTAAACACGACTCATTTATTAATTGTATTAATCGTGTCAATCCGTATAACCCGTTTACATTAATATATTAAATAAATAACTAATATATAATAATGACTTATTTAACATAGTCAAGGTAAGTTTAACATGTTTATTAGTCAATTTATCTTTTCCTTTAAGAAAAATAAATGAATTTTACCTATAAATATTAAAATTCACATTATTTGTATTTAATATGATATAAACTTTCATGTTATATCACATATGACACATATAGTCAATTCGTGTCAATTCGTGTCACTTCGTGTTAGGATGTCAACCTTAACTCAACTCATTTATTAATCGTGTTAATCATGTCAACCCGATTATGACTCAAACTCATTTATAGTAAACCTAAATCTGCTAATTTCGTACTGATTTTAAATCGTGTTGTCACGTCGCTACCTAGATTGCCAACCTATAGGAAAAATACTCAATCTTGTATGCTTTGTTATTTATTTATTTATTTATTCCCAGTTCAAACTTCAAAATATTTCTGTTCAAATTCAATTCTTTTTTTTTTGTGTGTGGTAAACTGGTAATCTATTCAGATTAGTCGCTTACTAATACTTGTATTTAATATCATAATCCGGTTTTAAAACATGAATATAATAATAGAATAACTAGAAAGAAAATTCCGACATCAACAGACTAGGGTGAATTCAGAAATAAATGCCTGTTGCCGTGGACGAAATATTTGGGCCTATGCTCTCGCTCATCGTGTTGAAGCAAGTATAATTTAGCCCCAAAAAATAAAAAATAAAAAAAGTTTAAGCAAGCATAGAGCTTTAATTTCCATCTTTAATATTCCCTCAACGTAATATTATGTATATGTGTATATATATATATATATATATATATCATATATATAATATATTTAGAGATAGAGAACAAACAGTTCAAACAGCCTCATTCGAGTAAAGCTTCAATTTTGACAAACAGAAAATGAGATTATATTAATTAAAGTTTTCACTTGACATAGTTGTTATGCTTATATTCCAAGGAAATTTTAGGACTACTTTTATGAGGCAACAGGCACATCGCGGAATATTAGGGGCGTAAAAAATGAGATCGAACTCGACGAATTCGCCTGAGCCGAGCCAATCCTATCCCAATATAGTGTTGAATTATATATATTGTACATATGCCAAACTCGCACTGTGCGGGTCGGGTGACGGGCCAGATAACTTGAACCTGAACAAGGCTAACCCAGCCGAATCAAGTAGAGTAAGTAATCCCTAATTTCCTTTCCTTCTCTCACATCTCTCTCGAGACCTCGACATTATTTTCATACTTTAGTTTCTCACAGACTCACACCACGCCACTCTCTTTCTTCTTCGTTCTCTTTATCTCATTCTTAGTTCTCACTCAATGCCGCTCTCTCTTTCTTCTCAGTTCTCAGATTCACCTTTCGGAGGTTCTCAATTCTCAACCACTGGTGATCTCGTCCGCGAAGAACTCGCCTCCTCCAGTCCCCTCTCTCGACAGGTAGGCCTTTTGTTCTTATTTTCAATTTTAATTGAATCAATTTGGACTTAGATATGTCACTTTTCTTTTTTTCCTTTTGATTTTGGATTTAGGGTTTAAATACAGTCGATGTTTGTTCTTATTTTTAATCTTGATTCAATCAATTTGGACTTAGATCTGTCACCTTTCATTTTTTTCGTTTTGATTTTGGATTTAGGGTTTAAATATAGTTGATGTTTTTAGCTTTTGTTGGTTACTCATTTTTTGTTTCCAGATAGTCTTTACTCTCATTTTTTGTTGGTTTCTGATTTTTTCTTTCCGATCGAACTGTTTCAAGAAGATCGAGGAAGAAGAGTGAAGACACATTAAGAACTGTTTTTTTCCCGCTAGCCTTTTATAACCTAGCGGGAGACCATGGGAGTGACACACAGGCCTGCCCAATTAATTTCAGGCCCAAATCGACCAACCTGCAAAATCAATATAGGTGTTGTGGCCCAAATTTCTCTCACCTCGACTAGGGTAGCTCGGCCCAAAAGACAGGTCCAACCCAAGCCTACCCGAGTTACACCCCTACCGAATATGCAAGATATCGGCTGGGACCAAGTTAGCGACCATTCCGACAAAAGAATTTGGGACTTAAATGTCGTCTTGTTGTGCTTAAACGACAACAATTTTTTTTCCTTCAAAAAACGACATGTCATCTCAACATATAAACGATCAACTTTACAACAACAAACTTCATGTCGTTTCTAATAAATGGCTTTGACAGCAATTTATTAACAATACAACGACAAGTTGTTAAGTTGGTTAAACGATGGAAAAACGGAACTATTTACTACAGCCTCGTTCATTTTACTGTTTTGAGTTTTTAATTTTAGGTTTCTACAGTAAAAAGCTCTCAGAAAATGTCACATCTAACTTTTTCTGCTACAGTGAAAAGCTCTTATAAAATGTAACATCTCAGCTCGAATTGAAAACTCGAATCCGCGTGGTTTCATTAATTAAACTACATACACTTTTTACAAATTTTTCTTTCTTTTTTTTGACAAAAAAAATAGAAACTTCCAAAATAAAACGACGCCCAGACGATAAAAAGCTTTAAACCTCAAATGATAATTTTTTTTTAATGAACGACATTAAACTTTTTTTAACCAACGGCGGCCAGATCATGTTTCACCTAGGCGTGCGAAAACTATAAACTTTGAACGGCATATCGTTTTATGCATAAATATTAATTCTTTCACCCTAAGATATGACGTTTTTCTAGACAACAAAAAACTTTAAAAAGGACGTAATTATTTTTAATCAAAGTTTGTCAATTAAATTATGATGGGATCGAAAAACATCTATGTGTGTGTTTTGCTTTAAAAGAAACAAGTACAACAGGCTTCAAACAAAAAACTGAACGACGTTTGTGGAAGGACAGAGTAATTTGCAACAATACGACATGTCTCGATTGTATACATACAAAAACAACAGTCGTTAAATAGAAAACGACATATCGTATCGTCATGTGTGACCTACTTTTGGAAGACGAACTACTAATCCACATATCCTTTTAACAAACAACAGTACACCTCACGCGCATGTCGTTTCTAATCGTCAAGAAGCTATCAAACAACAAACGAGGTCGTTTTGGCAAAAATGTGTTTTGAGGCAAGCAATGTGTTTTCCCAACTAGAGATAATGACTATATCAAACAGTTCGCTTTTCGTTCTTTTACTATCGAATTATGCCCCTTATTAGGACACCATTAAGTAATATATTAATTAAACGAGTTTATTTGTGATGCTTTTCTTGGCCTTACAATGTAGACAAGATCCAGTGTTAGTTTACCAATCCATCCTAAAAGCTTAAGCTATTAGGAGGTGGACCAATAATAGTTTTATACTTTAACACTCCTCATCACGTGTGGGCTGGACAATGAGCAATCGTGTGGGTAAATTAATTGGAAAGCCTAACATGTGAATATTTAAGCCCGGGATATATTAAAGACCCAACACGTGATGACCATTTAAATGGGGATAAAGAGTGCAATTACGGGGATTTGAACTCATGACCTCCCACTCTGATACCATATTAGTTTATCAATCCACCCCAAAAACTTAAGCTATTAGAAAGTGAACGAATAATAATTTTATATTTTAACATCTAGATCATTATTACAAGCCAATGCCAAACAGTAGTCACGCTTACACGAAATTCTTTCAATTAAGGCAAAGTGGGTTAATTTGCACAGTATTAATTATGGACTGTTTAAAATTATGAAATAGTGCTGGGGGACCATACTATATTAATTAGTTTATCATCATTAGACCTATTATTAATAAATTAACAGCAAAAAGCGTATGCTAAAGTGAATCTGCACTGTGAAACTTTGCCTTTTGCAACATGCATATGGCAACGCAATGTGGCATGACCACAAACAAGTACATATAGGAAGGACTTATTATAATAGTATTTTAATGAAATATATATATATATATGAAATGCCTCTATTTATGTGACTGATTCAACGAAAAATATTATAATTATTATATATAAATATACAAGATATGTGATAAATTATATAACTTATCATATAATTTATATATTTTTATAATTGTATAACTTTTATATGTTAAATTATACAAGATATATATTAAATTATATAATATGTAAATATATAAAATTTATATTTAATTGTACATCTTTATATATGTAAATATATATAATTTATGCTGAAATATATAACCGTCGTTTTAATCTGGTAAATAGTAATCGCCGAATTTGCATATATATATATATATATATATGATATTTATGAGTGAATTAAATCTATGATGGAGCTAGCTAGCCTCAAAGAGTAGGCGCGTCATCCTGATCTTTCGGCACTTATGGGTCAAACTGGATGAGTAGACCAGAAAAATAAAGTGGTGAGAGTGACTGATGTCTAATTTATTCTAACTTGAATTGATCCAATGGTACAAGAGAAAATGATTGTATATATGGTGAAATCAATAGAAATTTAACTTCAACTCATGAAGTCATGGGAAACCCAGGAAATGTCACGAGTAGTAAAGTTAAAATGGGAGATTACCCACGTCGTTCATGCATTTTGGTATAGGCCAAATCAACCAAAAAGCAGTTTAGTACTCTTCCGCCAAAATTGAATATTGTATCTAATCAATCAGGTTCATGAACTAATGAACATAAATGATCATTTGTATCTTTCACTTGTCAATAATATGACATCACTAATATTGTGAATTCTTAAGACCAATTGAACAACAAGAATTAAAGAAACATAAACGAAGAAGATCGAACGCACCAAAATTTACTTGGTTCGGATCAAAGATCCTAATCCAAGGCAGGGGTTTTCCCCTAGCTTAATTCACTATGAACAGAAAAACAAAATACACCTTCGGATCCTCACAAGATTACAAAGACTCTGGTTCTCAAATATAAGCTTCAAATATCCCAAACTTTCCCAGAAAACCTCACAGCTCTCGTTTAATCTCTCACTCAAGAACTCAGTCTAAAACAGAGAGAATACATGCGTAGAGTATGTAATATCTTGCGTCTACCTTTTTTCTTCTAAGGACACCTATTTATATTAATACAACAAATAGGAATTTTAATATAACCAATCAGAGTTAGGCTTAACCACTATGGGGTTAAAATACTTAAGTCGGTTACCAAACAATTAAGCTGCAGTCTTAACCATTTGTAACTAACTTATCAAAATTAACACCCATCTTCAAGATAGAATCATATTATAACAAATATTGATTAGTAGCGAGATATGTTTTTGGAAAAAAAAAAATGCCCAAGGAAAGCCTAATTAATAAATTTCATATATATTTTGATTGTCTAGAGATAGGAGCATATTACTTTCAGTTTCCCATTGGAAAAGATTGAATTTGAAGTGTTTATGTTCTATTTAATTAGCTACCCTTGGTATATATAGTATAGTAATAATTAATAATACTATTAGAGATTAGTTCTAATTCCTTAATTCTAGTCAAAGTTTTCATATCCTAAATCCAACAATTATGAAAATTAGGAAGAAATCTCAATCCATTATAAACTTAGGTACAACTTTATAAAGTTCTTGAAACGAAAAAAAAACAACATGATGAATTCCCAACACCAAACCAAGCCTGGAAAACCTATAATCAAACAGATCAAGAAAAAACCACATGACAAGTATTAGGTCTACTATTATTTTACTACATATAGCAGAACTCAGAACAGCAAGCTAGCTAGCCGCAGAAACGACACACAGACTGATCTATAGAAAGATCCATACATACATATATACATATACATATATATGTATATATATATATATATATATGTTTACTAAGGACGCAAACTATTATGCACAGGTCGACGCTTGTGGGGCAGAGTATAATCCTCGGACCACCAAGAAGGCAATCTCTCTTCGCCAACTGCATGCATTAATCTTCTTGCCACTTGCTTCTTTTGATCGTCAATATAAGCTTCCAACCCCATGTCATTGAAACCTGCAAATTAAACAAATAAATATATGTGTTTATTTGTAACACATAAATGTGTGATGTAATTATATCTACTCTTTACGGCCTATGTTGATGTAGAAGTTAGCTTATAATTTGATTACCTGATAAATGAGTTCTCCCTGCAAATAATGTGCACCGGTACTGAGAGAGAAATAAGAGTAAAATGAAAATCTTAATCACAAATCCGAACTTCATATATATCAAATATCTTTCTCCATAACCACCGTTGATCTTCCCGAAATAATTTATATGCTACATTAAGAGAAGTTCCTAATGCGCATATATATATATATATATATTTTGTAGAAAAGATATACTGATCAGATCAGGAATAGAGACTTAAGATTAGGATTTAGGACCAGATAGTGAAAATTTTAAGTTAGGATAGGTGAATCTAGCCATTAAAGAGGAAATCTAAAAAGAGAGATTGATTAAATATTTAAATATTCGGGCGTGCACGTCACATTGGGGTTTCTTTTTGTTTCTTTCTATTTTCAAGAGTGTAAATTTTTCAAAAAGGAAAAAGAAAAAGAAAAAAGCCATTTTCCCATGTTACCACGTGGTCCATGCACTTGAATCAAGCATCTATTTCTAACATTGATAACAAAAAATATGCTAGCTATTTATAGTCACGGTGATCGTCAGTTATATATATATAAATTCCAGGATTAATATATAAAATAGTTGTTATAACCTATTATAATTAGTTAAAAAGATGTGGTGATTTACAAGTGATTACTTAATATTTGTGGAAAAATGACAAATGCTAGCTAGTGTCACTCTTTTTGTTAATTTATGCATTCATTGTTTGACACGTGTACTTTATTATTTTATTTTATGTTAAAATGGTAATATATTATGTTAGTAGAGTCTGCATGTCAAATAATGATACAAAAAGTGACAAAAAAATGACAGAAAGAGTGACGTTAACATTTTTTTCTCCAAAAAAATATAAGAGCCAGGGCGGTTCTAGTCAGCCGCCAATGTGTTTATTAACTAGATCTATGTGACAAAGTAATTAAATGATAACCCAAAAATTGGATAAATGCAACGAATTATAGGACTAAAAAAAATTTGCCTGAATCTGTGAGCACTGTCTATACTGCTTTCCACGGTTGCATCTCCAATCAGATTGAAAAAATAGCTAGCTTTAATACATATAACACCCCATTTGAGAGAAAATATATATGTAGCATATACTATTACATAAAATCTTATTCGTCTATTTGACATTTGGTTTTGAGCATTAAGCCTCACTCTTCCATCTTCAACTGGATAAAAAGTTGGCAAGGCTTATCATTGAAATTTGAACCAATACAGAAATTTGATAAGGTAATATTGCCCTTTATGCATTTGCCTAAAGAGGTTTAGGTAATTAGTTTCAAGAGTAACTTAGAGTCATCTCAATCAATTTTCACATTTTCTTAAAAAAAAAAAATTAACGAAATTTGTTATAAAAAAAAACCCCCCTTTGGGAACTTGTTTGATTGGGCGCAATTGACACATCATAGATTGTCTAGATTAATACATCTCTAAAGTGCAAAAATATATTTATTTTGCTACCAACATGTTTTCAAATTGGACCATGAATATTTCAATGAACATCACTAATATTTCGTCTTTATCACTCCCAAGACCCCATAACTGCACGTTAATTAACTAGGAAGAGCATATTATGATATTAATAATACAAAAATAATCAAATTAACCAAAATTTGCTAGTCTTGCACCAAAAGACCCGCAAGAATATTGAACCACAGCCCGTCAAGCACGGTAAACCACCATTGCATCAAAACTCCCCTTAACTTATATATATATATATATATATATAAATATATATATATATATATATATTATACAAGTACGTACGACACCAATTAACTAACTTTATTTAACCGAAAAAACTAACTGCCAGCTATTTTCATGCATCCCCAGCCGCAAATTTCCCTACTCTCCCTCCCAAACCCTCAATTACATCTATAAAATTCCCTTTTTCTTTTCTAATTTCCACACCCTCAATATTCTTTAGTTTAGCAGTGCTTCTCTTTATTAATTTTTCTTCCTCAAGAGAATTACTGCAATCTCAAGAATCTAAAACATATAAAAAAAATTAGAAGGAAAATATATATTGTATTCATAATGGCACGCCAAGTTGTTGTCCTTGCTCTTATTTTCATAGCCATTGCCGGCTTAGTCTCCGCCAAGGAGGCTCCCACCACCTCTCCTACCGCCTCACCATCACCGAAGTCATCTCCGACGACGTCTTCCTCTCCAACCGCCACTCCTAAATCTAGCTCGGAGGCTAAAGCTCCGACTTCATCTCCCAAGGCTCCGGCCAAGGCTCCAACGTCGTCTGCTTCCACCCCATCAGCCTCTCCGTCCCCCAAGTCCTCCGCCGCCACCCCCGCCTCTTCCCCCGACACCGACGTCTCGTCTCCACCCGCCCCCGGGAGCGAGTACTTCTCTGATGCTCCCGCTCCGGGACCTGATTCAGACATCGTCAATACAGCCTCTGATGGACCCGCCGCCGCCCCTGACACAGCACCTAAGAGCGGCGCCTCTGCTCTCGGCGTCTCTGCTGCCGCCGCAGCTGGTTTTGCTGCCGTCGCCGGAATCTTTGCCTTCTAATAAGATAGTTTGTACGTGTTTCATGTTTACGTTGCATGCATGTTTGACTGGTCCGTTTGGTGAATTAACTTCTCACGAGTTTAATTTTGCCTAAATTAATTGGGAAGCCAGTACCGTGTATTGTTAGAGGCCTATTAATTTCTCCAAATATCATGTACAAGAGATCGTCAGAGTACCATTTAAGATTAATTAAAAAAATTTTATTTTGAGTTTGTACGTGTTTAATCTTTTGGCTCATTTGATGAAAAGTCCAAAGTTAAATAATGTACAGACTCTGCTCATTTCTGAGATATACAAATGAAAATTATGTTTCCAATAGTTTTAACTAATATTGCCAAGTAATGGTTCTACTTCTCTACATGTTTAATTAATTATAATTATGCATGCCAGATTTTTTTTTTTTTGTGGGGTGAAATTTTGGTTATATCAGTTAGTTTGCAACACGATTTAATTGAAGCTTTTTAGGTCTCCATACAGCTTTGCCTCGCGCGCTAAATATAAGATACGTGCAGCAATAACATATTGCTTATTATTTGGACATATTAAACAAATTTCATATATATATATATATATATATATATATATTCTTTTCTAAACGAAAATGAACAGTTAAGTACTCCATATATTCTCCAAAGAAATCAATCCTCTCTTGTACACAAGGTATAAGTACAACTATAAACCGAAGGGAGCTCTACGATAAGATTAGAAAAAATGAACTATTAGTAATTTTTTATTTTTAACTAAAAAACTGTCTGTTAAACGGTTAAAAATTGACACTATCGGTAGGTCAGGCCTACCAGAAAAACTTCCTAAATTTAATTTATAAATATTGTTATATACATTACTAAATAGCATGAGCCTATTCTATTTTTTATTACCTATGATTATTGAAACACGCCCACATTAAGTTTGTAAAAACAATTACGGTACGATCAATTTGTTTTATTAATTGTATCTGTTGAAGATGAGGGCAAATCAAATTGTGGTTCCAAATTCGAAAAGTCCTGTACATAGTACATTTTTAATACCATCTACGCTATCATGCATGATGTAGTGCATGACATAAAAATCAAACCACTGTAAGAAAAATTTCGGTCCTCTAGCACGATGTTGTTAGAGGTAACACGTGATAAATAATATAAATTTATCATATGTATCCTATCTTAAAAAAAAAAAAAAAGAAAACTTTTATGTCCTCATTTTCCCACTCTCACATCGTTTCAGGCCTGACCAAGACAGGATGTCATTACAAAACCGCCGTCTTTTCCCTAGCTGGTGTGTGTGTGTGTGTGTGTGTGTGTGTATATATATATATATATATATGTAACTTGACGTATGTCAAACTATTTCTGGCGATAATTTTGAGCTTTTCATATTACATCACCAAAAAGGGGAATATGGATTTTTTAAAAATAAAAAAAAATAAAAATAAAAACTACATATTATAACATGATGTATCATTCTGTAAATAAACATTAAAGATGGCAAGTGGGAACGAATCCACAACCCCACCCAAAGCCCTGATCCCCAACCCGTTTCCATGGTTATCAGACCAAAGGGTAATTGATTAATCCTGTGTTCACGAAGTGCTTTAATGTGAATGCTTGAGTGGATGTTTCTTGACGTGGGAAGTGTTTGTCCGGTAAACATGGCCCCACGACCACACAATTATAATGGGCTGGTACGTGGGAGGCCAACAGAGAGTAGTGGGGCTTATCCTTACTCCTTACAATCTTTTGCTTGATTGACGGGGAAAAGTGGTCGCCGGCTCTTAGGCTTTTGCTTTTCATTGTTTTGAAATATATGAACTTTTTTTTCACATTATAATTTCACACCACTAATTAGGATTTAATTAACCCGCCTCGATACCATTTAGCGGATATTACTTAATTTGTATATATATATGTATGGTAATTAATTGCTGGTACTTACAACCTAAGCTAATTAGTAATTAAGCCATGAGAAAAAGAAGATATATACATATATAAAAATAACAATAATAATAATAATAATAATAAGCAAATTAGAAGATCACATAAAAAGAAAAGTCTAATTATTTGAAATAAGACAACACTTCTGCACTTGCTCTCTGCGCGGCTCATTACATTAAGCTAATAGGCAGAGGTTGCAAGTGATCATCCGCAAGACGATATACTAATTATAAGTCAAAAGGTAAAATAAAACTGAAAACATACAAAAAAGCTACAAACTGATCTCATTGATCATTATATAAAAGGATACTAAAACTGCAAGGCAACAAATTTATAATGATAAAACCTTCTAGTATATATCCTTTAGCCTTTGCTACCAGCAGTTATAAAGCTTATAGAAATAAGTTAAGCTGAAAATAACATATTATATATATATATATGGCACAAATGCCATATATTATATAATGATCAGCAGTGTGATCCCCTCTTGCAGCTGAGAACACCGGAGGTGACGGTTATTGAGCCGACAAGGGAGGAAGGCCTTGCGCTGAGGCTTGAAGCCCTAGCGTAGCTCGACGATGCGCCTGCGCCGGTTTGCCTGAAATAAGCACCGTTGAGGAAGAGATCTCCTTCCGACCTCCAGTTCCAGCGCCTCCACTCGCTTTCCGGCGCGTCCTCGTGCTTTGTCACCTCCTTCTTGAACCGCT